GTTTTAATGGTTTACATTTTAAGAACTACAAGGTCTGAAAATAGTGTGTTTATACTATCTTTGTATGCCACTTCTGCCATTTTCATAAAGCTTAAATTTGTTATTAAGCTCTCAAATACAATACTAGCTGTTATTGATGTCGGGTGACATTTGAAAATAGAAACAGGAACACTTTACTGTGGAAGAAATATCTGTGTGACAGATATGGGTTCTTTATTTTTCAGTTGGTCACAAAAAGATAATGTGGTGGTTCTGATTCATGCATTCAACAGTTATTTGTTGAGCACCTACCATGAGAAAGGCAATGTTCTACCGATTGGGAATATAGAGTAATATATAGACAAGTCCCTGCACTCATGGAGTATTCATTCTTACAGAAGAGATAGATAATACATAAATAATAATGAGCCTTAGTGTATATAATGAGGCCATGAAAAGTGCTGTGAATCAAACAAAAGCTGATCAAAGCATACATTGGAAGAGTGGATAGTCTCTGTAAAGAGGAGGTCTCTGAGAAGAGGTCATCTGGGCAGAAATCTTGGAGAAGTAAGGGGAAAAGTTTGTGTTGAGGATAATGGAAGGCTTGGGGTTGAGGGTAAGCTGAGTTGTGGAATGATCTAACTTCTATGTTTAAGAAATCACTGTTTGTTGTATGGAAAAGGATTTGTGGAGAGAAGGGTGGAAAGGGGCCAAGTGGACACAGGGAAACCAGTATTTCCCTGGCTCAGAAGAATGATTCTATGTTAGCTCACATCTCCTAGAAGAGTCACCAGGACAGGAACAAATGTGCCAGAATTCTGACGGGAAAGGAGAAGATGAGACAGGAAAGGAGGGAAGGTAAGGTTAGGTGGGGGGTTCCCGGGTTGCCTTGCATTCCAATAACTTTTCAGCAAGGCCACTAGAAGAGTCGCAGGCCTCTCAGGAGCAAGCCTGCCTTCTTGTCTTATCCCCAGTGCATCTTCATGGGCGTGAAGCAGCCCTCCTGAACGTGGCCTCCCTCCATTTGGACAGATGCAGTTCAGAGAAAGAATGGAATGATTGAAAAGAAATGTGCTAAAATAGGGAGATATTGGTTGGCTGTTCCCAAAGCTCTGTGGTGTAATTTAAAGTTTGAAAATGGTGAATGGCTGGTTTATTAACCTTAATAGCTGATCTTGAGAATTCCCTTTGCTTTAGATTATTCTGGTCCCAGGAAATTAAAATTAATCTGGGTTCTTGGATTACTGATTAAAAGATTGTTTTAGGCTATTAAGGGATAAAGTACTTGAGGCATAACATTGCAGATTTTTCATTGCAGGCCAAGCAGAGATTGCAAGGGTTTGGATTTAGAGAAATCCCAAAAGATAAGGCTTCATTATATAGCAATTGAAATATAATACAATAATTTTAGGTGCACTTAATTAGGTAAATAGCAGCAAGTTCACATCATGCATTCTTCACATTTATTTCCCAAAGAATACTATTTACTCTAATTTACACTGCTAAGAACTGGATCAGGTTTGTTATGTATGTCTATGAACAACATAAAATAATCGAAACATTCTTCAAGTAATTTTGGTCTTCAAAATCTACTTTGTGTATGACCTAAATCTCACATTATTATTACGCAAGTATTATTTTTTAATAACTTGCCGTGTGCCAGGTATTATCAGTTGCTGAGGAAACAAGTATGAACAAGAAGTTTTTGGCCCCAGAAACTCATGGTTGGCAGAGGGAACTAACTTCTATGCACTGAATACTCTAACCATAATGTAGTGTGGTGAGTGCCATGTTGCCAGTGTTTGCCAGTGTTTGCAGTGTTCTAAGAAAGTACAAAGGGAGACATTACTCAAAAAGAAATGATGTTTTAGTCTCAATGGTGGAGTGTTCGTCAAGCATAGGAAAGAAGATCATTACACGGAAGAAAGGTGTAGTATAAAGAAAAAATAAATGAGACATAAGAATTGATGACATGTGGAAGAGACCTGAAGTCCAGGAAGAATGCATAGTAATAAACCCAGAAGAGAACTGAAGCTTGCATCTCTCTGTATATTCTGTCAAGGAATTTGGAATTTATCTTAGGGATAATGTGACCAGTGGAAAGATTGTGAGCTGGAGAATAGATATGAAGAGGTTTCCACTTAGTGTACATCACTGTGGTGGCATTCATGGAGGCAGAGGAGGACAGGTGACCATCCATGAGTGGAGCACAGAGAAAGTAGCCACATAAGCTGCTGCGATCATCCACGTGAAGGCTTGAGCTGGGACTGGAGTCTCAAGTGGAGGGATGGCATGTGCAGGCTATGGATGGACCAGTAGGCCATATCTGGATTTGGGATGGGTGAAGACCTCACAGGTCATGAAATGAAGGAAATGAGATGATTTTTAGGTTTTTAGTTTCTGGATAGGGGTCTGGATGGTATATTTTGGTGGAAAGAGTGAGGCAAACCTGGGTTCAAATACCAGAGTTCCAATTTATTTGCTTGAATGTGTTACTCTTATCAGCGCCAAGTTGCTCATGTGTAGAATGGGCTAAAGAATCTCACCTTTTTAAACATATTGCTTAACAGATGGTGATGCTGTCTGTTGGGTAGAAATAAAAAGGAAGAGGAAGTTTGGGGGCAAAGATAGTGGGGATCCGAGAAAATGTTAACAGAAATGTTATAATTACTTTATGTCAATTATTTCATTTAGTCCTCACAACAATCCTGTGAAGTGTAGGTGGTATTATTGCCATAATTTTATAGGCGAGCACACTGAGACTTAGAAGGAATAACTATCTAGAAGAGTTGGGATTCAAATTTCAGCTGAAAATTGAATTCTGATTCCAGATTCTGGGTTTAATTATCCTACTCTGCAATCCCCAAATCTCTTTTTCCAGATATACATAGAAAATACAGATATATAGAGATTCAGATATATAGAGAGGCGTGCACACACACACACACACACACATACACACACAATACATACACTTAAATCCAAGCTTTACAGTACTTACTCTGTGTAATAAACAACCCTAATATCTTCTATTTTTTTGTTTGTTTGTAGAAATTGCTTGGCACAACCTATTGAGTTCATGAACTTTTTGTAAGTCATGACCTACAATTTGAAAAACATAGATACAGAGCTAGAAAATAATAAAATGAAATCCTGTGGCTTCCACCATCAGGTGGCGTTGCATTGTTTGATTTTCAAAGAGTTATTTTGACTATGATTATCTGAGGAACGTAATACTCTTTCATAACCCACTAGATAAATTCCCATTGTCCATGACCTCTTTCTGGGGTTAGAAAGGGGAAGTAGAGGAAGTTGCAGTTGCAGATGACTGGGCAGGCGGTGGTCCTCACAGTCTAAGTGTTCTCTCACAGATCCCTCTCTTCTGTAAACCACACTATATAACCCATCCTCCCATGGCTACCTGTGTGTCAGTCTTCTCACAAGATAAGCACAAAACGGTTCACTGCATGTGTACATCTAAAGCAAGGAGCCCAGTACCTGGAACTGGATCGTGACTCGGTATCTGTAAAATGACAAGGGGTCACCAGCTGGGTTGTTCTGCCATCTCTTCAGTATAGACCCCTTATGTTGCTGCTAGACATCCACCATCTGTCTTGTGAGAATAGGACTGATCTAGATCTGCACTGTTGTCTCCAGATTAGGCCCTATTTTACTCAGAAAGGATTGTTAATAGGTTTTGAGAGTCTAGGCTAATGCTACTGCTATCATCTAGAACAAAGCTGGGCGATTAAACATGAGAAACATACATGCATTGATGTGATTAAAGATGCAATAAAAAAAATCAAACTTTGAGTTCATTGAAACTTATAAAAGGGTTGAATGTAGACTATTACATTAGTCGTCTAGTGACTATGTCTAATTACCTTAGTCATAGAAGACCAGACTCAGCTCTTCACCTGGATGACTAGTATAAATAATAGAACCTCTGAAGATGGTGATAATTTGTGGAAGAAAACAACATTTACATCTTATAATAATTGTACCCAAAGAATGTGCATCTCAGCCAGGTGGAAATTAAAGAGTTTGAAGGGGAGAAAAACATTGTCAGTCTGTCTGTCTATCCATCTAACTATACAAATGTAAATGTGTATATGTAGTTTTATGCATGTGTGTCTACACATGTGCACACATATATGTATTTTGTCCATATAACAAAAGCTAAGAACTACCATTCAAGGCTTTATGCTAACTAAAGTGGATTTTTGCTTCTTTAAGAGCTCAGAATGACAATGAAAGAATGTTTGATAGGGGTTTAATGTGCTTCTGAAAAATATTGAATCAGGTAAATCTGGTTAAAAGAAATAGAGTTCTGCTTGAATGCTTAAATACCTGGGGTTTTTTTAAAGCTTTTTTACTTGAACATTGATGCTGAACACATATAACCAAAAGGCAAAGGGACACGAAGTTCTGTACAAGAAAAAACAGGCTTAGTCTGCAACTTGAGAAGTTTAAGATAGTTATGGGAATTCATTTTTACTAAAAAAAAAATTGCTAAATCAATGCAGGCAAATGAAGATCTATCCTATCCCATTTCTACTCACCTGAAAGATTAGACCGCATTTCTTGGTAATATAGGGTCAGGTTTGTGTGTTCCCCCTGCACACAGACAATAGGCCAGAGGATCTTTCATGGTCCTGCCCAGCCCTGCAGTTCAGCTCCAGCCCTCCCCTTCAGCATCTTTCTTCACAGGAGAGCCAGCACTCCATGTGCTCTTACATGAATTGCCACTGTAAAAAGCCATCAGAGTGTGCAGGCAGGTATTTAAAGTTGTGCTTTTTAAAAATTCGTTTAAAATTAGAGCCATTCAATCAGTTCCTGTGGATTCCTTTTTGATAGCTTAGCTTTCTATTATGTCAAACGATATGAAATTGTCATTTCTGTGGGTTACAAAGGTGAAATATCTGAAGTTTCAAAAGGGAGATCCCTAGTTCAAAATATAGCAATGTTTTCTATGTATTTTGTCTTCTTCTTGGGTCATTAAGGTGTTTTTTTTTCCTCAGCAGTTGGAAGCAGCAGCTTTAGTCCAAGAACAACTCAACAGTTCTCCCCACCACAGATTTATCCTTCCAAGTAAGATGTATTTTCTCTTATTCAATAAATAACTTTTCTGAGTAGACTTTTACTTTATTTCAAGTCATGTCTGTGCCCAGATGTTACATTTTAATTTAAATAAAATCCTGTTTCATAGAGGCTGAAATATATTTACACAAATTTGTATTGAGCATCAACTAGAAGGGACACTGAAGTATTTCAGTGGTTTGTCTATTATTTTTGAAGGTTTGACTTTAAAATTCGCTCTTTAACTGGAATTTGTGATGTGATTGTTAATTGCATGTTTCCATCTAATGCATGGGCTTTCTATTTTCTGTTATTTCTGACAAATAGCAGACCATACCCACATATTCTCCCTACCCCTTCCTCACAAACTATGGCTGCATATGGGCAAACACAGTTTACCCCAGGAATGCAACAAGCCACAGCATATGCCACGTACCCACAGCCAGGACAGCCATACGGAATTTCCTCCTATGGTGAGTAAACTGCCCATTGTGATATAGTATTGGTTGTCTTTTGTATGTGTGTCTTTAAGTGGGACTCAAAGATTGTGGGTGTTGGCCATGTTAGAAAGTGCTGTCTTCTTTTGTGTCTAAATTGTTAATATGATTGGTTTTAGCGGGCACTGTGTGAACTGCACTCTTATCTTGAGGTCAGAGGTGGCAAACAGATTGCATGGATCATATGCCCTCCCCTTCTCTTTCTTCCCCACTTATATCTCAAGTCTGAATTTGCTATCTGAGCACTTGGCTCTGGAATCCAAAGTATTTTTCTGCATATTTGTGATAAAACTTCTGTGAATGAAGTCTTTTGGGGTAAAGATCCATTTCCTATTTATCAGATGCCTTCCCCTGATTAGGGAAGTACACAGGGAATTCAACAAACTGTTGCTCTAGACTTAGAGGGTGGCTGTATTATCAAATTTCAGTATTATCAACCATTAGGAAAAGTGATCTATATATCTCCTCCTGGACTGCACTTTGAAGAGGTAAATCAGGAAACATTTAAAGTTCACATCGCCATTTGCTCTATCCTACCTGGAGATTATCTTTGTTTTGGTGTAATTTAACTCAATTGTTGCAAGGCTAATACCTGTAAATTAAAAATAAATCCAGCCATATCTCAAAGTTCCATCTAAAAAGTCTTCAAATTGCAAAATACCTTTTCTTCAGTGGAGTTGCAATCTCAGTTTTAAACACCTGAACCAAATATATGAATCATTGGCATTTTATTAAAAGACAAAACTAGTGATCAAGAAAAAGTACATGGACTGTTGGAGGAAAGGACTAGTAGAATAAATAATGCTGTGCTTTATCTATATTCTTTCATAATACTCTTTTCTGCAGTATATTGGAAGAGTTAATGCCTTTTTAAAGCATTACATTAATAATTAGAAGATAAATGATTTCTTTTAATTCTGTCTTAAATTCAAATTTACCATATATAAATTTCTCATTAAAATTATAGAAAAAAGTCTAACTTATGTGTGACATCAACTTTTGTAATTTTACTTCAAAACAGTCAGAACTAAGTGTTACCTAGCTAGGTACTTTAAAGCAGATTTTAGAAATACCCTTAAAATGGGCTTTCTAAACTTATCTTTGATTTCTATAAGTTTTAATCAAGGTTTCTCATAGTAGTATTAGGTATGGATCAAATTTATCTATAATTATCTTTTAAACTACTCTTGTGATAATAGAGGAATATTATGTTCTAAATTGTGCAGCTTTTATTCTGTAATATGAGTCAAGTCAGTCTCCAATTTAAGTGCTCCAATTTTACTTGTAAGGTGATTATTTGAAATGTAAGTGTATTTTTCAGTGTGCACAATACTAAAGTACTGTAAACTTCACACTGCTGTCAGTGACACCCCTGATACTGCCTAAGCTGTTAGCCTTGTACTTCCTCTTTTTTTCTCTCTCTTTCTCATTTGGTGGTGTTAGGGTTTGGACATCTTCCTTAGCCAGCTTCTGGACTGGGGTTTGAGTCCTTCATTTCTAAGACATTAATGAACTGTCCTTGGCACTTGAGATAGCTGTTTCAGTACGGTGACAGGAACAGAAGTTGAGATGATAAGAGAATCAAAATTAGCAGAGTGAAGATAAAGATTTCAGCGTGCTAAGTGAGGAATCGGAGATGGTGGCAGCAAGGCTGAATATTAAGGGCTCTGGTCCCAGAGCTTCCATGGTTATGAATCTTCTGGGAATAATCCATTAGCATTTGCCTGGTCACACTCATTTTGCTGTTTTTGGATCCAGAGTATAAATTGATGTACTTGTGACCCAGAGGTTTTATTTTTCTTGGGCCAGTGCATTGAAACATACGGCATTATTCTCTCCCTTGGATTATTCATAAAAAGAAGAGCACATAATTTAGGATTTTTCAGTACTAAGAGTCCGGGTCCAGATAATCTTAAAGATTTTCTCTAAGCACCTGTGTTCACTGACTTTTACATTGATTTGTTTTAAAATAGGCATATCACTCCATGGTGAGAATAGATCAGTGAGGAAGAACAGTTCATTATGTTCTTTGATGGGTCTGGTTGGGGTTTAGCAGAGAAATGAGTTGCCTGCCTTGTGAGTAGAAGTTATCGAGGTAGATGTAGATGTGGCTATGGGTACTTTCTACTTATTCCTACTTTTCTGTACCAGTTCTCAACACAAATATTCCCATCCTGAAATCCCATGCTCAAAGGTCATGGTGAAACTAGAAGGAAATCAGTGTAACCTCACATAGAGAGTGAATGGGGAAAGTTCCTGATGACAGCATGAAAGGAAGAGTTTCTTGAACCATCAAGCCACCTGTCTTGGGCAGGTGTGTTACCAGGAATCATTTACTTGTACCGTGTCGATTATTCATTGCTTTGAGAGTGCCTGTACAGGGGAAAAAAGCCACATTTTAAAACTATTAAGGTTGTGCTAAGCCTTAAATGTTCAGGTCATTATGAGTATTCATGATACTCTAGGAATTAGAGTAAGCTCGTTTAGCCAAGAGTCAGATTCTTCCACTGCCTTAGACAATTACCTAACTTGCTTCTACTGATGAAATTAGCCTAAAATGGAAATAAGCAGTAGGGCTAGTGTGTATTCTAGATCCTAATGATATCATTTATCTTAAATGCAAAGAAAAATTATTAAAAAATATGACTTCTCTTGGAATGTTCCCATCCTCCCTCTGTGGAAATCAAGGACAGTTGTTAACTTTCATGATTGTCTTTAATTATGATTCAGAGCTGAGCCTTATACCTCAGTGCTGCCAAGACCAAGTCCTGAAATTGGGGTGCCAGCTTGGTCCTTTGGGAGGTCTTTGGGGGCCACAAATACATTGTTTCTATATGATCATATGGAAATCTAAATTTGTTTTTATGTAACTATAAACCCAATATATAATCCGTATAGATTTTAAAGATATAAAAGCAAAGCAAAGTCTACTTTAGACTACATTTAAAACAATTGTATTTAATTATTCGAAAATGAAACAAAAAAGGAAGTAGTGGTCCACTTCACTTGTTTATAAATCACTGTGCTGTTTTGTAGGATTCAGTACTTTGATATTCTGCTTCTTTTCTGCTTGCTGTCTACTCAAGAGATTTTTTTATCTTGTTGCTTAGTTCTGCATGCAATGTTGCTTCCTCTGACTTAAAAATGAGTTTTATTGTAGCTTCAGCATTGTGGAAGAACAAGAGAGGGAATAAAAAGACAAGACTGAGACTAGAGCTCTAATGAGTTTTTGGAACGAAAGGTTTTAATTCAACATAGAAATTTTGGAATAGTTTAGCTAATATTTAATTATGGCTATTTCTAGGAAGGAGATGATTAACCTTTGTAAAACAACAAAATAAGGTACAGAAATGATATCTCTAGAGTTATGTTTTATAGAAAGTTAGATGCAGGAAAGGAAGAGAAACTCAAGTGACTAGACATTGAAATATGCAATTATCCTTTGTTTAAATTGAAGCCGTACTTTATGGCATTTCACTGAATGCATGTATGACTTTTATTATTGACCTAAGATTGGGGAGCATTTGTGACCAAACAGTTACATGTGTGGGAGGGTATTTTTCTATATTTACCAGCTTGTGAAAATGAACAGATAGATAAGCTGTCACTAACTGATTTAGGTGCATTGTGGGCAGGCATCAAGACTGAAGGTGGATTGTCACAGTCTCAGTCACCTGGACAGACGGGATTTCTCAGCTATGGCACCAGCTTTGGTACCCCTCAACCTGGACAGGCACCATATAGCTACCAGATGCAAGGTCTGTATACATACGTTTTCCTTGACCCTGTAGGCTGACAGCTGATTTCTAAAGTACGGCCTGATATTCCTGCAGATAGTAGATGATGATGGCGAGAGGACTGGTCTTAGAGAAAGGGCTCCTACTTATAGTTTCCCTCCTCACTCACCAGCTCTCTGGGCCTAAATATCTGTATTTATAACATCGAGGAATTAGACTGAACAACCTGTAAGGTTCTTTTCCAAGAGCTCTAAAATTTCCTGTTAAAGCCAAACTTTTCTGCTTTTGTGTCTTATGGATTAGAAAAAGGAATGAAGAGTAAAACGAAGTCAGGCATGCAAGAGGTTGTCACGTGGTACACGCTAAAAATTCCTACACTCAGTGTTACCAACCAGCTCTCCTAAATGGACTGTTTTTCTTTATTTTAGTGGTAGAGTACGGGTTGGAGGGTGGCAATAATAGCTCTGATATTCAGAATGTGACATGTGTTGACTTAATAATCCACCAAAGATCAGGAGATCAATGTTATAGCTACCCAGTGGATCTTCAAGGTAATGATGCCAAGAACCAGTCCTCTGGTTCTGTTTTTGAAACTACAGACAAAATGTATAATCTAAACACAAATCAGATGGAATGACAGCTGAGAGTATATTGTCAAAGCTTTCTCAATAATATATAGATATTATTTATCATTAGCAGATTGTTATCATACCTATGTATCTGTAAAACATTTGAAAATAGATGTCATATAATTTAAGCACTCTCCTATTATCTTGGTTTTAACCACAAATCAATTCAACAAACCATATTTAGTGTTCTAATAGTGCTAACTCATAGTTGAATTAAGTCTATAATTATATTTTGATTTATAGTTTTCACTTTTTATGTTATCTTATTCTTTCTTACATTGATACTGTTTGTTACAGATAGATTAGAAAATACAGAAAAATAAAAATTACAGAAATGTATCCCATATGACTTTATCTTATATATATATTCATATATTCTAGGTATACAGTATAGGACTATATTTTATAATACTGTATTGCAACCTGCAATAACAAATACATTATGACCGTATTTTCACATTAATCAGTTTTTTCTTTACCATCATTTTAATGGCCGCGTGCTGTTCATAGGTGTATCGTATTTAACTAATCTTCTATTATTGGACATCTAGAGTAATGTTGTGCATATCTTAACTACATTTTAAATTGTTTGCTTTGTTCCTTTGGAAAAGTTTAAGTATAGGATTTCTAGGTTAACTGTTTTACACTCTTTTAAGAGTTTCTGATATATTTACCCAAAGAAGGGCTTTGTATTAGAGTGGAGACAATGGATAATATCTTTGCAAGAATTGCTATTTTGATAGTACAAGATTTTGTTTTCATATGCATTGCATAAAAGTGAGGAGATAAGTTTTTTCTTCACATCACTGGTACTATTGATCTTTGCCTTATTTCTTGTTTTGTTGAGTTTTTTGTTTGGTTTTGTTTTTTGAGACAGGGTCTCACTATGTAGTTTAGGCTGGCCTTGAGCTCACTATGTAGCCCAGGCTAGCCCTGAACTAGCAGCAATCCTCCTGCCTCAGCCTCCCGAGTATCTTATTTCTTAATATTATTATTTTTAAATATTACTATTAATATTATTTCCTAATAATATGTTCTTAATCTTTTATACTATTTATAAATTTATTTCCAGTTCATAATTTTTTAACTTTTAGCAAGCTAGGTTTTATGAACCAAGATTCATTAACCTTCTCACATTTGATTTTGTCTTTGACATAAGTCTTCATTATAAAGTTTTAATATATTTGATGACTATAAAATAAAAACTGTCATAACAGACAGCATTTATATTTAGAAGGATGTTACTTATGTGCCAGATTCCAAAACATTCAGGCTGTCATGGGAAAGAACTAAGTTTCTACACATGCTGAATATCAATTGAACAAAGTAATGAAAAGAACAAATAGTGACAGAGAGACTTCATTAATGAATTTAACAGTCCAAGGCTCTAGTAATGAAAGAAATCATAAAGCAGACAAAATCTGTTTGGTCATAGAACTTTCATTCTTCTTAAGGAGACAGACAACCACTGGATATTGAATCCTCCTGGAGGAGAAGCAGTACCACAGGTGAGAAGGAGGCAGATGCAGTGCCCTCTCTAGAACAGAGGTAGCCAACGTGTACTGCTGGGGCCTCTCAGTTACTAGGCCACCATGAGCTAAGTACAGAAACAGAGTTCATATTTAAAAACTGTCATACTAAGCAGTAAATTTTATGTTTGTTAACTTTCTAAAACAGACTGTAATATGTCTTTTTTTATTTCATGCTTTTAGCAATATGCTATTACTGTATTTTGTTCTTTTTTTTAGTACCAGGGATTGAAAACTCCAGACTTTGCACTTACAAGGCAGGAGGCACCACTGAGCTAAATCCCCAGCCCTAATGTATTTTGTTCTATTGTTATCTTGTAAAGGAGTGGAGCATCTCTTATTCAAAGTGCTTGAGACCAGAAATGTTTTGGATTTCAGATTTTTAGGATATTTGCATGTACATAATGAGATATCTTGGAGATGAGAACTAAGTCAAGACATGAATACATTGTTTCATGTACACCTTAAAAACATAGCCTGAGGGTAATTTTATATAATATTTATAGTTCTCTTGTGTGTTGACTGTGACCTGTCACATGAGGTCAAATGTGAAATATTCCATTTGTGATGACACATAGTTACACAAATATTTTAAATTTTGGAGCATTTTGGATTTGGGGATTAGAGATGCTCAAATTGTATTATACTTGATAGTTACCTTTTTATGTTTAATCTTGCTCTTCGCTTGAATCAATGCCTGATGTAGCAGACACAGTTGATCAGAGGACAATCAGCTATCAGAGTACAGCCAAGAGTTAAGGGAGCAAGGAGTGGAAATAAAGGAGAGGAAAAGAAAATCTTTAGGGGGGAAAGCTCTTGATTTTTAAAAAGAAATAAGGATATGCATAGCACTAAAGTAGGGATTGCTTTTATATACTTAGATTTTATTGCATCTGGATTTTGTTGCATTAGACAGTGCATTAAAACTTCTTAGTGTTTTTGTACATCCCTTGCTTGAATGACCTTTCTAGTGGGATTTTAGAATTCATTTTCCATGGCTGAGTTATTATTTTACATGGGTAATTCTTTGATGGTAATTCATTCAGTTTTAAATTATTAGACATAATATGACTTCCATATATCAAGCTAGATAATTATATGCTATTCAGCTTGAAACTTAACTTGCCAATGATGATGATGGATAATGGTATGCAGAATCCTACAAAATGCATATAGCCAGATTTGGTTGTGTAATTAAATTTCAATATATTCCTTAAATTTTAAGTGGAAATTTTAAATGGAATATGAAAAATACTTTGCCATTAATGATTCTTTGCCTAATTTTGGGAGTATTTTGACCTTCATGTGTTTTTTCAATACATTTTTGTAAATATAGTAATTTCTATGTCTAAAATTATTTTCAATCATTACCTTCTGCTGGGAAGTCCTTCTGAGTCGGCCTGGAATGGCTCATGGGCAGAGAGGTAGTCCTGGGGGCCAGGAACAGGCTAGAAGCCTCTCTGGACTCACGTGAGCCCTCATCCCCATTCCTGGGACCTCTCCAAGCCCAGCTGGCACCGAAGAGCTTGGGCTGGTGCTGACCAGCCCCTGAGGCCTGCTGGCTGGACCTTTGTGATCCCAACCAGCTGGCATAGGGTGGCTGACAGCTATGGCTACAGGACCTGAATCTGGGCTTGGGCCCCAGGGTGGAAGTGAGCTCTCCTTGCTGCTCTGCCCGTGATTTCTATGGGGTGAGTTGATGTAAGGGTCTCACTCAAGCCAAAAAGCCAGGACCTTTGCACAGCTCAGTCAACTCAGTGGGTCCCCAACCCAGGCAGCAGAAGGGGCTGACTGGGCCTGGTCCTTACCAACACAGATGGTGCAAACTCTCTTAACAGTGTTGTTTTTGTATCAATATGTTTGTGCAGTGATGAATGTATTTATTTCTCAGATTCGGGGTGAGCAAGTGGGTATGTGGCAGGCTCGGCTCTGCCACTGCCCTCCCCCGCCTGACTGAGCCATAGCAAGGGCTCCTCCAGGATTGCAAAAAAGGAAAAAAGAAAAGATGAACCTTTAAGCAAATAATCTCAGAGACTCGCAGCATAGCCATATACCACAGCCTGTGAAACAAACAATCTGGACCCAGACTGACTCTCCCAAAGTCACTGAGTTGGGGGGTATGTTTCCCATCCATCACCACTGGGGAAGCTGGGCTGATGGCCCGCTGCCCCACCCCATCAGTATTCACTGGACCTCAGGCCCCCATGCAGGAGTACGATCTAGCTGGGCGGGTGGGCAGGCAGATCCTTGCTCTTCTGTGGCGTCCTGAGTAGGAGGAGGCCTGGGCAGCCAGGAGGGTGGGGCTCAGGAAGCAGGTGCTGCATCCATTCTGTCCCCAGGCTTGGAGGACAAAAGCTGAAGGCATCAAGTCTGAGAAGAGAAGACGGGTCCTCAGCCTTGCCATGCCCCCTTTAAGGGACCAAGGTTCTGCTCTTCCCCAGAGTCATGTTGGAGCTGATGTTACTGAACCTGTGAATCGGATGCCAGTAATGGAATGGAGAGGGACCTGACCAGAGCCTCAGTCTGACATTCCAAACCAAGGATGGGTGGGAGCTGTGGGAATTGAGGCTGCCCAGGACCCCCTTCCTAGGATGCCCCCAGCTTCAGTCACCCTCTTTAATTTTCTACCAGGAACCCCTCCCCCTGCCTCACCTTGCTATTTATTGCTATAATTTATTGACCTCAAAAAAGCTACATAACAGACCTCATTTGGGACAAGGAGGGTCCCCAGGGCTCCCCCCCTCCACTTGGCAGGGCCCGGTGGGGCCAAGTGCTGAGGGGAGCCTCTCTGTACCCTACCCATCACTTGGTTCCCCCCTGCCCCTCTGGGGGCCCCTGGTTGGGCACTGGCCCACTTGCAAAT